TCTGTTTATATATGTTGATTGGTCTTTTATGGAAATTCATTTTAGAAAAAACAGCTGTTCTCCTTTAGACCCGGAAACACCGGGCCCTTCATCCACAAGGCTCGTGGGCCACAGCGAGGCAGGTTCGGGGCTGAACGACCAAAAACACGTTAAAAAAAAAATAAACAAATAAACAAATAAACAAACGGCGTATTTCTGCAGATCAGACTGGTTCTGTGTTCGGGCCACAGGTGGGTTCCTGTCCAACCAGCTGAGGAAGACGAGAACAGATGAAGAGTTCGAGGCTGGAAGAGAGCTGCAGTCAATCAAAAAAAACTGAAGGTGTGGGTGGGCATCGCTTCCCTCAGCACCGTCTCTCAGGTACGTCACACCCGTCACAGATGACAGGTGTCACAGTCAGGTGGGAGGCGGGGAGTTTACGAGACGGCAACATGACGTTTGAGATACAAACCACACCTGCTGCGTGCAGAAGTGACGAGTCTAAAAGTTCACGAAGAAAACTGAAGAAAGAACTGAAAGACCAGAATCTGAACCAAAGCTCCTTTAAGTCGGGTTTATCTGAAGTTCTCCGGCTTCAGAGTCAGCAGAACAAAAGTTCAGAGGCTGAGAAACACAAGAGGACGGGGAGTCTGCTGTTGGGGCTTTAGGTGTGGGGAAAGAATAAAACACATTTACTTTCAACAGCTAAAATTTAGCTAATAAAAGACATGTTTTAACTCGTGCAGAACAAATTGTTCCACAAACTGAAGTTTACAACAGGGTGGAAAGGAAAAAAGACGATTTAACACCTTCTCTTCTACTGGACAAACATTTTTATGTTTAAACAGAAACTGTGTAATGTAAAAACTAACAAGACAAGCTAAAGCTGAAGCTGTAAGCAACAGCTGAAATTCACCATAGATGCTGAAACAGTTAAAGTTTAGCTAAAGTGTAATGTGGCTAAAAAGATGATTAGGATGTAAAAGGTGCCAAATGTTGACCAAAATACGAGTGGTCGAACAGTAGCTACAGTGTAACAGTGGCCCAGTGATAGCCATAATGTAAGTGGCCAAACAGTAGCTAGAATATAAGTGGTCGAATAGTAGCCACGGTGTAAAAGTAGTCCAACAATAGCTAAGTGTAAAAGTACCCAAATAGAAGCAAAAAACAAAATCTAAACTGTTAAAGTGGTACAAGAGGTTTAACGATAGTCGATATGTGTAAAAGTGGTCAAATGGTAGCTAAAATATAAGCAGTTGATTGGTAGCTAAAATTTTAAAGTTGCTGAACTGTGGCTAGAGATCTTTAGAATCAAAACAAAGTTTAAGCTTAAGCTCAATATCTGTAAAGCTGACAGAGTTAGAGCCGTTATGTTTGCTAGGGTCGATAGTGATGGCAGCCATCTTGAATCAAGTTGAGTCTTAAAATTATTCAGTTGAAGATGTGCATGGTAGCATTATGTGTTTTTAAGTTAAACCCATTCAGCAGTTCCTGTGTTTTATCATCATTATGACTTAATAAACTCACATTCCAGCAATTATCCAGTACCACGGTTTGGAGTGTTCATAGTTTTAGTTGTTTCTTTAATGGTCAAAAGACGTTGGGTGAGATAAGCTAAAACTGATTTTATTTTTCAGATAAGCTTTCTGATCAAACGGAGAACTCATGATGAATGCAGCACGCACGCACGCACACACACACACACACACACACACACGCACACACACACACATTGCTCCTGTCTGAATACGTTTAATCCATTATTTACAGGTTTTCTGGCAGACAAAGACTCGGGCAGGTGCTGAAATATAGAAACTTAAAGACTAAGAGTTAAATTATTGAATTTGAGATGTTCTCTTGGAAATAACGACAAGAAGAATCTGTTGTTGTTTGGAGGACTTCGAATAAAACTGAAGGAGGAAATAGGTTAGGATGAAGAGAGTCAACTCGCAACACGACAGAGAAGACAGAAGTCACATCAGAACAGCTCCCGTCTCACCTGAGCTCAGAGACTCGGGGAGAAGATGATGGAGAAGAAATCACATTCAGGAATGGGAAATAAAACCGAGGGGGGGGGGGGGGGGTGTATCTGTTCTCTTTTTTAAAAGAAAAACTATGACTACACCTCCTGCACGTCTTCATACAGCAGGTTCCATCATCCAGATCTTTATAACCTCATGCTCAGATCAGAGGTTCTGATCCGCCTCAGAGGTTTTCCTCACAGACGGTCCATCAAACCTGGGAGTAAATTACCCTGCAGGTCCGTGGATGAGGTAGGAGGTAATTATGCACCGTTTTGTCAAAGTTGCATAAAGTTGTGTGTAACTGGATCAATGAAAGGTGTGGCGCTGCTGGAGGACATCACCAGTAGAAGAACTGGGAGTCTGAGTGTTTCCAGGGATCACACATGATTATTATAGAATTAAAGTCCCGGGCCATTCTTTGTGACTTCTGTGCTGAACTAGCCACAGCCTTACGGAGGAAACTAGGAGGAGCCTTAGTTTCCAGCATCTACGCTTCATTTCTGATCATCCAGAGAGAAACACACATGCAGGACACATCTGTGGAGGTGTGTCAGTGGGAGGAGTCTCATGTGCACTCAGTTTTTTAAGATGTATGAAGGAAAGGTGAGCAGACGCATGCACAGTTTGATAAAATTTATCAAATTTAATCTGAGCAGGTTATTTTCTGTACGCTACCTTTCAGTATGAAAGTTACTCTCTTTGATACATAAGGACTCAGACTTTGACACTTTAAAACGGACTAACACACAAACTAAAAACATCAATTAATAAACTAAAAATCTATTATTTAACATTGCTGATCTGCTGCTGATCAGTTTCTTTTTGCTGCTGATCTGTTTCAATGTTGATGTGTTCATGTGTGCTCATCTGCTCACACAGACTCATGTTCATGTTTGTGCTGATGTTCAATGTTTTTATGTTATGAGTGCTTAGTGTATATTTAGTTGATGTTTTT